TTGAAGTTTGTGAGGTCAGCTCGGTCGGAGAATAAATCGGCAACACCCAAGCGCGCCAGAGCCTGGGTGTCGGGAACGGTAACACGACTTGAAGTTTAAACCGTTTTTTATATCACACTTTTATTAAATCAAAAGTTTCAAGCGATTATATAAAGCAAAAACATATAAAGGCAGAAGATACAGATAAGGAAAACATATACAGAATGCCAATAGGAGTGAGAATACCTGCTGGAGCGCGCTATCGATCTTTTTCTCAAACTTGAACTTGGGGAACTTGAGCTGGACCTTTTGGTCGCGAGTGTCCCTCAGCGCCGCCGTCAGCGTCGAGGGGCTGAGGCGCTGCACCAGCTGGTCGAGCTCCCGGCCCGTGCCCTGGTCTCGAGGAAGGAGCACGAACAGGGACGCGTGGCCGCCCCGGTAGGGCATCTCCAGCACCTGGGCGTCCAGCTCCTGTGACTCACCTGGGGAAGGAAGCGCAGGGCGACCTTTAATGCTGAGGAGGAGTGTGAACGACAGCCGAAGCGTCACGCTAGAACTACAGCATATCGTTTGTCAGATTTCACTACTAGCAAATAGAGTAGCTTTTAAAAACTGCTGCTAGATAATCTAGTGATCATTTGTATTATAAATCAGATCTAAATGAACATTTCAGAAAAGACAATTATAGAATGCGGGAAAAAATGTCTTATTTAGTTGGTTAAAGACTACTAGAAGATCCAATAATGTAATTTGTGATATATTTAGCTACCCTGATCTAAACGGACAAAATGCAGTTAGATAGTACTTAAATTATCTTCAGCTACACTATTCGATAAAGAGCCTGGAGAAATATATATACCGTTTCCAATTTTCCAAAAAATCGAACAACTGCTTTGTATTTTTTTTACCATCCTTTTCCCGCTTATTCCAAGTAAAGGCATTCTAGGTTCTGCAATGAGTTGCTGAGAAGCACCCTAAAAATTCTACAGCGTGTGAAATCAGGTCCCTCACATTAAGACTTATAAACATCAGTAGTCAATTTGCATGTACTGTGAATGTAATGTAACTCAAAAAAGTGAAAATATTTTACCATAATTGAAGTTGCCTTCTTGGCTCATCATAGGGACCGTTGCATGTCTATTCGGCCCCACAAAGAACCTCTGCGGGGACGTGTTCTCGACCTTGAACTGACTGTCCCACAGGCCCTTGAAGTAGACTGCGTTGACGAGCGTCATCACGGCTCCTGACACGCTGTCGGCTGACACTATCTGCGGAATTTTGCCTCTGGTCGTGTCGCTGACGAACCTGTTGATCTCCCCCGCAGCGGCTTGTGGTTGCTGGGGATTGGGTGAGTGGGTGTGAGTTGGTCGTAGGTTGCCGATTGTTTGCAAAGCCACTGTTGGATTTAGTGACGATGCGACAGTTGATGATCGAATAGCTGACCCTTTGCAATATAAATCAGGCGGATCAGTTATTGGCATTTAAACAATCGATTCGAAACCAAACTTGAAAAGGATTTACATCCATACCTGGCGGAAATCAACGGTTCTTATTTCGTTCGAGAAAACCGTCTGAAGACACTCTCTGAGCGGCAGCCCATCCTGGATGTATATTCTGTTAGCTGCATTAACCGTGTAATTGGGGTTGTTTTCCTGCAACCTGTACCTGTTTAGAGCACAAGTATATATATATACATATAGGTAGACAGAAAATGCAATCAACTAAATTTAGCTTTGGTAAATCACCATCTCTCTAAGCAGCATATATATATACATATATATACACAATGTAAACATATACACAATATATATATATATATATATATATATATATATATATATATATATATATATATATAAATATATATATAAACATATATATCAACATATACATATATACATATATATTCACATATACATATACACATATATATACATACATACACACACACATACACACACACACACACACATATATTCATAAACACACACATATATGTATCTATGTATATATATATAAATACACATATATGTATATATATATATATATATATATATATATATATATATATATATATATATATGTATACATATATATATATATATATATATATATATATATATATATATATATACATATATGGTAGAAAAATCCACAATGTATTTACACGGAAGAGTGTTATGCTATCCATATATATATTCATATATATACATATATATATATATATATATATATATATATATATATATATATATATACATATATATATATATATATATATATATATATATATATATATATATATACATATATATATATATATATATATATATATATATATATATATATATATATATACAATATATATAATATATATATATATATATATATATATATATATATATATATATATATATATATATATATATATATATATATAAGATATCAACCAAATTTAACTGAATTATGGCCATGCGTTAACTTACAACTGATCCACGCTTTTGTACAAGGCCAGAGCGCC